CGTGCATGGGCAAAAGAAACAGCTTGTCGTTAATTGGTCTTAAAGGAAAATACAAGAGCTTTAACAAAACGGAAAGCCTATCCTCTCTTACCTACTACGTCAGATCGGCGGCTCAGATGAATGTTGTTGACTGGACTAGCTTGATATAATTTAGTGTTAAGCCAGTTTGCCAGTAAAGGATGTAAAGGAGAAATTCAGAATTAGGTTATAAATCGATTATAACGTAAATGCAACCAAAATAACTAAGGTGTCAACCGGCAAACAATTACAACAAGAACAGCCCTCGGCCCAGGCCCCTTTACTAGACAAGAGGTTTCTGTTTCCTTTTACTCAAGTGGGAGAAACTCTGTCAAGAGACGTGTGAGGGCACTGGGGCAAAAAGGAACTAAACATTTCAACGCTGCTCGGGAGGGCAAGGCCTCTCGGCCTATGCTGCTATGTTTTGCTCGTCCTCGCATATATCCTGTTTGGCTGTAAACAACCGTTCATGTTGGTTTCATCTGGAATTCAACTTTAGTGTATGACTCTTTCCCTCATTATTTTCTTTAAACGTTTAGCAGAATAATCTCAGTTCAGTGTAGAAATTGAGATGTTTCAACCTGATTTTTTTTAGAGCAAACTTTCAAAGCTATTAAAGCACATTTATTCTCACTTTTTAACGATGTCATACCAGTATTTTTGGCTGAAAATTTGAATGGTATGCTTTTTTTCCTCCAGAAACGAAATGGCCTACCCTTACCCTGACTGGGACCATATATAATTTCATTCCTATTGCTCTTTCCCTTGTGAATAGAAAACGCATCACCCAAGTGTTATATAGATGAAGAAATCAAATGCAGCTTGTGATGATCTTAAAGGTTTTTTTTATTTTTTTCTGAGATTAGACCTTAAAATTTCATCATTATATTAAACTCCCTTAATTAACTACATACATCTGATCTGTGGCTTATAAACTAAATAATTTCTTTTAAATTTCAATGCAAAAGCCTTAAACCATACATGCTAACAGTTTACATGAGAAAAGAGCAAATATTAAACAGTAGTTAATTACTGCTTAACAACATCAATCACGCTGCAACAGTGCTGGATGCTGCACTCCTCAGCAACAACAACCTTGTGTGCTCATTTTTCCTGAAGCCGCAGACTGTTTGAAATTAACATTTTCATTCAGATAGAAGGCTGCAGGAAGCACCTGGATCTTGAAATCCTCACACAGAAGCTGGCCTAGAATGCAAAATGATAATTATAGTGATAAAACGACACAAGAGTTTTGACATTTCTATATCTAGCAGGATTTTGAAAGCATTACCGCCAAATAGACGTCTTCTGTGAGGCCGTTTTTTCGAATTTACCCATAAATTTATTCTCTTCTCCTGCTTTCTTCGTCTTCACTACTTTCTAATTTTCCTTTCTTTTTCCTTTTCTTGTGTGATTTTCAAGCTAATCGAGTGCAAAAAAAACCTAGTACCTTATTGCACTTTTTCACTCATTTCCAAAAACTGGAATTCACTTTCATTTGGCTTTATGGCTAAGGTTAAAAAACGAAAAGAAATCGCATTGCAGGACAGGGAAACCTTCATTTCTTTTCGGCTTCATTTCTTAAAGCCAGTCAAAACTCAATGCGTTGATTTGTTTAAGTGAAAAAAATCTCAGAAGAGAAGAGACTTTACCTTCATTGTCATCATCTTTTCGTAGACGGAGATTTATCGGACGTGTAAGATCGTCGCTTTGCGTAATTTTCTGAAAAACAAAAAAAATTGTCTTTAATTTTTCTTTTCCTTCTTTTATTAATAAATCAATAAAAAAAGAATAAAAATACAATATAATTAAAAATAAACAATTAAAAAAAAAAACAGTAATGAAAAATGAATCAGATTCAATGATGCTCTTCGAACACAGTTTAGATCCAACTTGGTGATATTTACCTTTCCTGGTGCAGACATTTTGCTGAGAGTTTCTAGTTCAGGTAAAGCTTCGCTCGAGAAGGTTTTGTGAGTCCAATCACACTGTTGATTAATCACCCTGTCTTTATGTCTTTTATAGTCTTTCATGTTGTGTCAGGCCATAATCACGCGAGGTGCACATTAAACGTACTTTGTCAATATCCCTTCTATATATAGTATTGTACCTAGAACTTAACAACCGAATTTGCTATCTTTTTTGTTTTCATACTGTTCTTCTTGTCATCAGTGCATCTTCAAACTTTCTTTATGTCAAATCACGCGAAGGACACTATAAAAAGGTTTAAAACACGAGTCACAAGACAAACGTTTCTTTGGTTTTACTTTTTATCTCAGGGTAAGAGTCGCATTATTATTTTTTCAAAACTGTTTTCATGATTATTGTATAAAAACACATTACATCCCTCTGTAACAGAGTCAGTGAAACCCTACCAAGTGGTTTAATCAGTCGGCTACCCAGTGATAATTTAGCCTCCCGGGCGCGAATAGTTTAATTTGTTTCTACCCGGCTAATTTTTTTTCCTCCCAGATCAATTTCTATAGTGACTACAAAACCAGTATTTATATTTCTTTACTTATATTTGGTTTTAAGAAAGCAAAACTATAAAACATTATTACCAATGACAAATGAAATCGGAGGGAATCAATCGCGTAGAATGCCCGGTAACATCCGGGAATTTAACAGGCTAGAGCCGCATTCGAGCCACGATTTGGTCTTTAAAATATGGCGTAATAATGAGACAGAAGCGACTTTGAGAGTTTTTTGTCTCTGATTGTGAGTTACTCGTAACCAAATCTCAATGATATGGGTACCACCGGAATATTAATATCAAAAAACATCAAATTCAAGATCTTACCTTCGACTAATACCAGCTTATCGGATTTCACTGGGTTTTTCGCGCTAAAAACCAACCAAAAAATAACCTGCGTAGACTTTCGCGGAGAGATTACAACCAAAGTTTGCAGAAATCGCGAACGGTACCACCTGATATTGTGACATCTCTCGTCTGCCTTTAAAACCACCACAGTCTTTTAAACCAAGGAATGTGATAAAAACTGGTTTTTTTGTTTTCCTTTGAATTTGACCTGAATCCGTGAGGGGTAGCCAGCGCGAAGAAAACTTCCAGAAAACGCCTTTGAAAGCCAAAAAAAAATTCTCTGCGTTTCGGCCGCCATCTTTTTTATTTTTCAAACTTGTTTCCAGTACTCCTTGACCGTTTTGTTGTTTTTAACTCGTGTGTACTTCATTTAGAAGTGTCACAGATAAAAACAGCAAAATACTAACCCCCACCCGGACAAGAAATTTTTTGTTGACCTCACTGGACCGGAACTCTACGCGACGAAATGTAATCGAATCTCGCATAAAAAAGTGTAAACCTCTTAGTTCTTCTTGCTATAGCAATATAATGTAAAATGTCTTCAAAACTTTTATACCATTAAAGAATACAGAGTTTGTATGTGATTTCGGAAACGGGGTTCAGTTGTGATGGCTGCCAACCAGCTGTAAGTATAGAGCTGCCTCCAATGTCTGCAAGAAAGTGCCAACCTCCTCTTCTGTGGCCATTAAAGTATTGTGATTTCTCTTCAATTTAGTGCAATGATTCTGATATCAACAAAAGCACTTTATATAGACCTTGAAAGATATTCTTCCTCCTGCATTATCATTTAGGAAGTTTATGCCAAATTTATTGACATTTGTTATTCCGGCTTGCTTTTGCAGTGTTCGCTGGCTGTCGTTTACATCGCCTTTCCATTTCGCTTCTAACTAACCACTGAAAATCATAGAGCTGAAACAGACTGTAATCCCTAAGCTTCTCCCAAGAAAAAAAGGCTTTTGAGGGTTTTATTCGCTAAGAAAAACTAGTGAACAATTACTGAGTATAAGTATCTGTTTATTTGTAAGATAATGTGTCCACCCAGCAGACTGGTTTTGATTATTATCATTTTTTCTAGTCTCTTTTCCTCTTTAAAGTCCAGATATTCATTTTTTTTAACACAAACTGGAGTGAAGCTCTATATAGTTTATTAAGTCAATAAACCGTTGGCCAAGCTTTAAAAGTATAATCTACCTTATAGAGATTCATCCAATGTTATATTTCTTTATTAAGAATTTTCAATGACAGTAACTGACTTTCTGCTTTATATGTTCTCTGCTCGAAATAAACACCTCAGTGCTATTAGACGTCATGTAAATTATTGATGAAATAAAACTCTTGACTATTGATTCATTTTCGTCTCCAAAAACACAGCTTAAAAGTGTTGAAAAAACTGTTTTGTTGTTTTCCTGTGCTTGTTTATTTCTTCCTCTTTCAACAGGTATGTTTCAACTGATATCTCTTGCTTGAAATCTCTTTTTTTGAAATGATTTATATTGAAATTTTCATGCCATACCAAAGCGAATTTAACCGCTATTTAATTCTAACCACAAGTTTCGTGCATGGGCAAAAGAAACAGCTTGTCGTTAATTGGTCTTAAAAGAAAATAAAAGAGCTACAAGACGGAAAGCCTATCCTCGTTGACTTACTACGTCAGATCGGCGGCTCAGATGAATGTTGTTGACTCGACTAGCTTAAGCCAGTTGGCCAGTAAAGGTCAAATTTAGAATAAGGTTATAAATCGATTATGTCGTAAATGTTACCAAAATAACTAAGGTGTCAACCGGCAAACAATTACAACAAGAACAGACCTCGGGCCCAGGCCCCTTTACAAGTTAAGAGGTTTCTGTTTCCTTTTACTCAAGTGGGAGAAACTCAAGAGACATGTGAGGGCACTGGGGCAAAAAGGAACTAAAAATTTAAACGCGGGTTGGGAGGGCAAGGCCCCTCGCCCATGCTGCTATGTTTTGCTCGTCCTCGCATATATCCTTTTTGGCTGTAGACAACCGTTCACGTTGGTTTCATTTGGAATTCAACTTTAATGTATGACTATTTCCCCCATTATTTTCTTTAAACTTTTAGCAGAATAATCTCAGTTCAGTGAAGAAATTGAGATGTGAATCAACCCGATTTTTTGTAGAGCAAACTTTCAAAGCTATTAAAGTACACTTATTCTCACTTTTCAAGGATGCCACACCAGTATTTTTGGCTGAAAATTTGAATGGTATCCTTTTTTTCCTCCAGAAACGAAATGGCCAGTTCCCTTACCACGACTGGGACCATGTATAATTTCATTCTTATTGTTCTTTTCCTTGTGAATAAAAAACGCATCACCCAAGTGTTATATAGATGAAGAAATCAAAAGCAGCTTGTGATGATCTTAAAGGTTTTTTTAATTTTTTTCTGAGATTAGACCTTAAAACTTCATCACAATATAAGACTCCTTTAATTAACTACATACATCTGAACTGTGGCTTATAAAATAAATATTATCTTTTAAATTTCAATGCAAAAGCCTTAAACCATACATGCTAACAGTTTACATGAGAAAAGAGCAAATATTAAACAGTAGTTAATTACTGCTTAACAACATCAATCACGCTGCAACAGTGCTAGATGCTGCACTCCTCAGCAACAACAACCTTGTGTGCTCATTTTTCCTGAAGCCGCAGACTGTTTGAAATTAACATTTTCATTCAGATAGAAGGCTGCAGGAAGCACCTGGATCTTGAAGTCCTTACACAGAAGCTGGCCTAGAATGTAAAATGATAGTAGTGATAAAATGACACAAGAGTTTTGACATTTCTTTATCTAGCGAGATTTTAGAGAGCATTACCGCCAAATAAACCTCTTCTGTCAGGCAGTTTTTTGAGGCCAAAAAAAAGTAGCCTATATAAAAACTAAGAATTCGACCATAAATATATTTTCTTCTCCTGCTTTCTTCGTCTTCACTACTTTCTATTTTTCCTTTCCTTTTCATTTTCTTGTATGATTTTCAAGCTATTCGAGTGCAAAAAAACCTGCCTTGTTGCTCTTTTTCTCTCAGAGGGCTGCAAATTTCGCTAGGTTCATTTTCAAAAACTGGAATTCACTTTCATTTGGCTTTATGGCTAAGGTTAAAAAACGAAAAGAAATCGCATTGCAGGACGGTGAAACCTTCATTTCTTTTGCCTCATTTCTTTAAGGCAGTCAAAGCTCACTGCGTTGATTTGTTTAAGAGACTTTACCTTCATTGTCATCATCTTTTCGTAGACCGACATTTATCGGACGTGTAAGATCGTCGCTTTGCGTAATTTTCTGAAAAACAAAAAAATTGTCTTTAATTTTTCTTTTTCTTCTTTTATTAATACACCAATAATAAAAGAATAAAAATACAATATAATTAGAAATAAACAATTAAAAAAAAGAACAGTAATGGAAAATGAATCAGATTGAATGATGCTCTTCGAAAACAGTTTAGATTTTAACTATGTGATATTTACCTTTCCTGGTGCAGACATTTTGTGTTTCTAGTTCAGGTAGAGCTTCGCTCGAGAAGGTTTGTAAGTACAATCGCACTGTTGATTAAACACCATGTCTTTATGTCTTTTATAGTCTTTGATGTTGTGTCAGGCCATAATCACGCGAGGTGCACATTAAATGGACTTTGTCAATATCCCTTCTAAATACAGTATTGTACCTAGAACTTAAAAACCGATTTTGCCATCTTTTTTGTTCACAGAAGTGGGTGAATTGTTATTCTTGTCATATGCCTGCATCTTCAAACTTTCTTTAAGTCAAATCACGCGAAGGACACTATAAAAAAATCACGAGTCACAAGACAAACGTCTTTTTGGATTTCCTTTTTATCCCATGGTAAGTCGCATTATTATTTTTTCAAAGCTGTTTTCATGGTTATTGTATAAAAACACATTACAAAACACCCCTCTGTAACAGAGCCAGTGAACTGGCCGTACACAGTCAGGTTTAATTCATTCAGCTCCCCGGGTACTTTTTCTTCTTAGGTCAATTTCAATTGTAACTACAAAACCAATGTATGTCTTTCTCTATATTTGTTTTAAAGAAACCAAAACTATAAAACATTGTTACCACTGAGAAATGAAATCGGAGCCGGTACAGGTAATCGATCTCGCATAAAAAAGTGTAAACCTCTTACTCCTTCTCGCTAGAACCATAAAAGGTTTTTCAGTAAAAGGTTTTCAAAGATTTCATACCATTCAAGATGTTAGACCTGCCTCTCATTTTAGCCAGTTTTACGGGAGATACACAACCAAGCAGAAGAAAAAAAAAAACAAAAAACCAAAAAAACAGTGAAAACCAAACAACTCAGTGACGTTTTCTCCGACACCCGGTGAAGATATAGATCCCACTGGGTCTCTTACAGAGGGGCATGGATAAAACGCGAAAATCCCGTTTTATTTTCGTTTTCCGCTTTCACAGTTCCGTGGAACCGACCATCTCGGATACTGGAACAGGCTGGTCCGCGGCCGACTACCGAAAGAAGTTTGTATGGGAGTTGAAACGGGGTTTTGTGCATGATGGTGGCCCACCAGCCGTAAGTATATCGCCTTTCCCTTTGCTTCTTACTAGCACATGAAAACCAGTACAGTTGAAACAGACTGGAATCACCGCTTCTCCGACATAAAAAAAAAAAAACAAAACAAAGCCATTTCCTTTAATTCCTCGTGGGATTTTATTCGCCAGGGAAAACCTGAGTGTGAATAGTTAATGACTATAAGCATCTTTTTATTTGTAAGATAATTTGTTTTCTTCTTCCCACTGGTATTTAAATGGCGTCAACAAGTCCCAATTTTCAAATTTTTTTTAACGCAAAGCGGGCTAAGGCTTTAAATAATTTAATTTATTTATTTAAGTCACAGTATAAGGTTAACGTTGGCCTAGCTTTAAATACATAATCTATACCTTATTTGAAAAGACTTCCGAGTTACATTTCTTTATTAACAATTTTCATTGACACTAACTGACTCCCTGCTTTATTTTGTCTCATGAGGCTCTTAGTTGCCCACTTCGATTCTTTATTCGAAATAAATACCTCAGTAGACATACTGCACAACATGCTCACAGTTCACTGTTACTAATGGACGTCATGTAAATTATTGATGAAGCTTTTTGGAAACGCTCTTCAGAGTGAAATTTTTGAAAAAATGTCACTTGTGGCCAGATATAATATAATATGGTTAAGTGTTTCATTGCCAAGTTAAACGAGATGATAGAGTTAGTATGCTTTTTTCCCTTATTTGTAAAGGCTCGCGCCCTTCTTTTCAAAGAACTGTATTTTTACTCGCAACTACAACTCGTACTCTAAATTAGCAGAATTTATTGTGTTTTCTCGTTACGCGGGTGTTACATTGATCTCTCTCTAGATCTTTCAGTTTTTATTTCAAGAAGAAAGCCGGATTGAGACGGCTCCCATAAGGCTATGTAGCGATGAGGACTTTGTAGAAAAGAAATAAAAGTTGATCATATGTGGCTACCTCTCAAATGGCTACAAATACCGTCCTCTCTGCAACGGCCGCTTTTTTGGGCAGACATTTTATACACTGACTATGTTTAAACTTCTCTACAACGAACACCTCTCTATAATGGCTTCACTTTTTTCTGTCCGCGAGGTAGCCGTTTTAATTGTGGAGACGTTTAACTGCACTTTGTACATGACAAAAAAAAAACGGGTAGCAGTTAGCCTAGTACCACGGTTGCTCACAGTTATGTTTTAGCACTACCTCTCCCATAGATAAGCCGCTTGAGTACTCTTTGTATGTCTCGTTTCAAAAACGCGTAAACTAAAGGATTCGCCGCCGTATTGGTGACCAAGAGAGCGGTAACTACCAGTGCAACATTATCAGACACCCTGTCTGAGACAAACGTGATTCTTAGGATTAGATAGTTTTGACTACACTACATGCCAAGAAAAACACCACTAAAGCAATTATGAATGGTGCTGAGCTGTGTTTGCGTCTACCAGGACGTCTGGAAGCTGCTGTCTTCAGTAAAGCCTGCTTGGGTGAATTTTGCAGTTGCTTTCTGAGAGACTCCATAGCATAATTCTGGAGTGACTGCGCGCGAATTACGGCCAAAATACGGACAACAGCATAGACAGACAGAGTGGAGCACAGTATGTCAAAACCTGAGACACCTGTTAGACGCAGCACTTTTAAACCAGTGTCTGAGGTTGCAGCGAACATTCCCAAAACAAGGTACAGCGATATCAACAATGGAATCAGCCATGCCAACAAGATGATCCTTCCAGGGTGTCTCAAGGTGATGGATGTGTTGTATCTAAGAGGATGAAGAATTGCTGCGTAACGATCCCACGTGATGAGATTTGCAACTGAAGAGTGAACCAGAAACCAATAAAGTACTGCGTCTAACTGCATGGTGTCTTAGGTTTTGAAAAATTGTTTTCAGGTCTGCTTGTCTATGCTGTTGTCCGTATTCTGGCCGTAGTTCGCAAGCAATCACTCCAGAATTCTACAATGGAGTCTCTCAGGAAGGAACTTTAAACTGGCGCGCTTAGCTTAGCTTAGCACGCTTCATAATTGCTGTAGTGGTGTTTTTCTTGGCATGCAATGTTGTAATAAATGAAGAAATGAATGAAGCTTTATTTAATCGCGGGTTTGATGAGGTTGGTTAGACCTCTAGCAAAAAATATGCTAATGAGCCGAGGAAAAAAAAACAAAGAAAACAAAACAAATAAATAAAATAAAAGAGAAAGAAAGGGAAATCCAAAAACGTATTTACAGTATAAAGCGTAAATTTACGTCACATAGCTATTTACAATAAAAACCCCTTGACAATTACTTAGATATTATAAGATAGATATTATATAGAATTAGCTAAAACCTTGGCTGTCGGACTGCTTTTTTAAAAGCTGACAATATACTTAGGGATCTTAAGGTATCAGAAATCTTGTTCTAAGTAATAGCCGCCAAGTACTTTACTGAGTTCTTGTCATGACGAGTCGTATAAGGTTTCGGTACTTGGAGCTTGTTAATCCCTCTCAGGTTTTTGATGTTGTCTCTTAACCTAAATGGGCCTCTCAGATATTCAGGTGGATAATTGTTAATTGTCTTAAATACAATAATTAACAAGTTCTGGATACGTCGATCCACAAGGCTGTAACCAATACGATCAAAAATAGTGCTAGTTTCTAAAGACTCGTCACTGTACCAGTAACGAAGTGCTCGTTCATGCAACCTACCCAGTTTTTTACTATCAGACTTTAAACAGTGATGCCATATGAAGGAAAAGTCATGAAAATGAGACATTATGAACGAATTATAAAGGCAGAGTTTGGTCCGAAACGATGATATATTCTTTAGTCTACAAAGAACATCTTGTTGCTTTCCAACTTTCTTTTTAATTTTCGCAATGTGTTTTCCAAAATTTAGGGAATTGTCCAATGTTAGCCCTAATAGATCTATTGTTATCAAGTAGTGGTAATGCAACACCTTCAGCAAATAGTGGTAGCTTGACATTGGATTTTCGCGAGAGAACTTTAGCGCCTTGCATTTTTCAGGGTTCAAGATCATTTTGTTTTTTTGTTTTTACGAAACCACTCACACACCACCACAATCTCCAGAGCCCTCACACAACAGGCGCGTTTTACGGAAATCGGTCATATTTTCATAATTAATATGTTTGAAGAGAGCTCAATTTCTCTTGTATGTTTTTAATAACAAAAACACTTTCCAAGTTACCATTTGGCCAACATTCTGTCTGAATGACTTGGAAACCCAGGAGAGGGGACTTTAAGTAGTAAAAATCCAATTTTTTTCCTGGGGGAGCCTTCTCCCGGACCCCGCTAGAAGCTTGTGCCTGTGGCGCTCGTTTAGGAAATCGGTCAGTATTTATTTTAGATCTGCGCCTGCACAATCTCTAATCCTGAGAATCATCTTTTTTTTAGATGTGTCTGACAATGTTGCACTGGTAGTTATTGTTCTCTTGGTCGCCAATGCGGCGGCGAATGCGTTAGTTTACTAGCCTGTTCCGAGCGTTTATCAGAAAGTAGAGCGCGGGAAAAAATTCACTAAGAAAGAAAAACTCCTTTTATTTTGCCATTCGCTACATATGAATACAACAAAAATATACAAGAAATTTATAAATAATACATTAAAGATAATATACACTATTCTAACTATATTATTTACAAAATTAAATGTTTAAAAGGGTAATGACAAGGAAGCCTATACAGAAGCCGAGGGCTTATACACTATAGGCGTCCTAGAACTATAGTTACATGTGAGTTAAAAGTACTGAAATCAATGAAAAGTGGGTAAATTTTAAAAGTAAAGAAAAGAAAAGAAAGGAAAAAAGAAAAGGTACGTGTCTCAACAAAGAGTATATCTGACTTAAAGAAAGAAAGCTATGGAAGGAATTTTTAAAGTCAAACAAACTTACACTTTCACTGCTTTGAATTTCACGACTTAACGAGTAGAAAACTTAGGTCGACCATGAAACCGAATTGAGAATTTTCGAAAGTTAGTTCGAGAATGAGGGACCTTGTTGTTACGGTGGTGGACTATCTGGTAATTGTCTACTAATTATTCACTTCATATTTTAATTTTTAACAACCCCGAAACCCAATATTTTCCAAAGTTTTAAGGTAATTCCAGATTTGCACTGCGCACCCTCTACTGCGCATAGCATTGCCACATCCAAGATGGCGGCGGTTCTTCTCACTAGCGCGAAATGAACAAACAAGGGCGGCTTTTGCAGAGCTAAAGCTTTTATTCACAATAATAATGCCGCAGATCGGCCGACAGCTTCTTGGTTTGCTATCGAAAGACAAGAAAATGAAAGAAATGTGCGTGATCCCGAAGTCTGCAGTGATTTTTCACTTCGCGGCCGTCGAGTTGTGGAATTATTAAAATTTACTGGCTGAAGCTTTGGATTATGGGGGCTGTGAAGCCTGTGGGACAGCTCTAAGGCTCTCCAACTGCATTAACGGGCCAGTATCTGGCCTGGAATCGCTACTGTACATATGTTGTTCAAACTCCGAGAGTGGAGAGACGAATATTTCTGGAACAATTAAGACACATCGTAGCACCAGAACCACGCGAGGGAGACCAGTAAACACGAGGTCTGCTGCTGAATTCACATTTTGCTGTGTATAGAAACCAAACAAGCGAACATATGAAGAATAGGAATCAATAGTCTTTTCTTCAAGTTTCTTTGTCAAGCATAATTGTGCAAAAGCAAAAAAAATCGAACCGTAGCTAACTGGAATTAAACAGAACGCCGGCGCAACAAAATGGTCCAAAATAAAGATTCATAACTCCAAAATCTCATCAAATCTTGACTTACCTCATTCCTCGGTATTTAATGTAATCTTTTCAAGTTTGAATTTCTGTGTTGGCGATATCAAACACATAAAAACAACCGAAAACAAGCTTGATCTCGAGTGCGTACTTCGAACACGATGGGCGTTATTTTGTTTCTCGCCCCAGTCCCCACCGCTCAAATTATCCATCCTGACTGCGATCTCAAAACCATGTCCACCTTTCACAGCAGTTTGTGAGGAAACAAGCACGGTGACCCCCGATTTTTTCCCCAGGTATTCTCTAAGAATAGTCTAATAAACAACATATTTGAATAAGAAAAAAAGTTTTATGGTAGAACATGATTTTTGGGGGGGAAAGTAGTTTCGTATTTGGTGTATTTGGGTCAAGGCGAGGACTTCTAGCTAACCAGGGAACTGTCCGAAAAAGCGCAATATCCCCACAACCAGGCAATCGAAAACGAATTAAATGAAGCAATACTGCTTATTTGAATAAAAGAAGCATTATGTTCAGGATAAAATTTTGTGTGTTCCAAGTAACAACGACTTCATTCTGTGAGAAGTGGATTCGAATTTTAAACGCGCAACCAGTAAAATACCCCAGTTTAAGAGCCTGCTGACGCGTAAACAAGCACAGTGACCCCATCTTTTTATTGCATTTTTTTAATGTTCATATCATGAATGTTGATTATGCCAAGTTTCAAAAAAATTTTGATAGTAGAACAATTTCAAGGGAATTACCTTAAACATTCCCCGCTACTCTATGTACATTAAAAATCATCTAAAAATTCTCAAAAAAAATATTGAATCAAGGAGTCATTTTTTGATTGAATGAAGTTTTGGCTAGATATTTAAGAAAAAGGGTGGAATAAAACAAAAAACAATGCTTCTAATTATATCAGACTCTCTCCTTAAACCTGTTTGCCAGTAAAGGACATACAGTTTAAATCCAGAATTTAAGGTTATAAATCGATTATAAAAAAAATGTACCCAAAATAACTATGGTGTCAACCTTCAGACAAGTATAACAAAGAGAACAGATCTCGGCCCAGGCCCCGGCCTAGAGGTTTCCGCTTCCTTCTACATAAGCGGGAGAAACTCAAAAGACGTGTGAGGGCTCTGGGGCAAAAAGAAAATAGAAATTTTAACGGGGGTCGGGAGCACAAAGCCCCTCACCCATGCTGCTATGTTTTTTTCGTCCTCGCATGTCTCCCGTCCTAGACCCTGAGTCCGTGTTTCGGTAAACATCCCTTTACTTTGGTTTCACTGGAATTCAGTATTAATGTTTGACGATTTCTGTCACTTTTTTTTTTGCTTAAATTGTTAGCAGACTAATCTCAGTTCTGTGTAGAAATTGAGCTGTTGAAACATTCACAGAGCAAACTTTCAAAGCTATTAAAGTACACTTAGGCTCACTTTTCAAGGATGCCACACCAGTATTTTTGGCTGAAAACTTACATGATATGCTTTATTTTCTCCAGAAAAGAAATGGGCTAATGAGGCTAATTTCATTCCTATTGTTCTTTTCCTCGTGAATAGAAAACGCTTCATTCGGAGGACGTTAGAATTTCCCAACCAATCACTCTTCCAAAATTGGATAAAATCATCCAAGTATTATATACATGAAGAAATCAAAAGCAGCTTGTGGTGATCTGAAGAGTTTTTATTTGTTTTTTGAGGTTAGATCTAAAAATTTCATCACTATTTAAGAGTCCTTAATTAATTAATTACATACATCTGAACTTTGACCTAAAAGATAAATATTTTCGTTTAATTTTCAATGCAAAAGCCTTAAACCATAGATGCTCACAGTTTACATGAGAAAACAGCAAAAATTAAGCCGTAGTTAATTACTGCTTAACATCAATACTGCAACGGTGCTGGATGATGCACTAGTACTCCTCAGCAACAACAACCTTGTGTGCTCATTTTTCCTGAACAAGACTGTTTGAAATTAACATTTTCATTCAGATAGAAGGCTGCAGGAAGCACCTGGATCTTGAAATCCTTACACAGAAGCTGGCCTAGAATGTAAAATGATAGTTTATTGTGATAAAACGACATAAGAGTTTTGACATTTCTATATCTAGCAGGATTCTTGAAAGCACTACCCCCAAATAGAGCTCTTCTGTCAGGCAGTTTTTTTGTGGAAACAAAAGAAGCCAATTTAAAAACTAAGATAGATTAACAGTTATTAAAAGAGATTTTCTGTACAAAAGTATTATTTTGTTTTTTTCGCACTCTGTCAATTCTTTTTTCGTCTTTCCTTAGTAGATTTCATGTAATTAAAATAAAACTATGATAGGAATATTATTTATTGTAACTTAAAATAGTTTTCTTCGTTTCCTTTCCCTTTACTTTTCTTTTAACTGGTCCTCCTAGATTAGCAATTGTTATTTTGCGGGCCAATCTATTGTAATCAGAATTTTTATTAATTATTTATTAGTTGAAATATAGCAACTCATTAATTGATTCTCTTTTCCCACTTTCTTCCTCCTCACCACTTTCTATTTTTCCTTTCCTTTTCTTTCGTTTGTGTGATTTTTAAGCTAATCGAGTGCAAAAAAACCCCTGCCATTTTGCACTTTTTCACTCAGAGGGCTGCAAATATCACGCTCATTTTCAAAAACTGGAATTCACTTGGGTTTATGGCTAAGATTAAAAAAAAAATGGCATTGCAATTCAGGGAAACCTTCATTTGTTTTACTTCATTCCGTAATGCCAGTCAGAGCTCACTGCGTTTTGTTTATGCACAAAAAAAAAAAATCCCACAAGAGAAGAGACTTTACCTTCGTTGTCATCATCTTTTCGTAGACCGGCATTTATCGGACGAGTAAGATCTTCGCTTTGAGCAATTTTCTGAAAAACAAAAGAAAATTGTCTTTAATTTTTCTTTTTTTTTATTAATAAATCTTCGTTACGTAGATTTTCTATATCCTTTTGAATAAATACAAAAAATTGTTTAAGAAATCAATAGGCTCCTTCTTTTTGGGTTACCCAGAATTGACAATCCAAAGTAATAAAAGAATAAAAATACAATATAGTCAAAAATAGATAATAGTAATGGAAAATGAATCAGATTGAATGATGCTCTTCGAACACAGTTTAGATCCAACTATGTGATATATGTGATATTTACCTTTCCTGGTGCAGACATTTTGCTGAGTGTTTTCAGGTAAAGCTTCACTCGAGAAGGTTTGTAAGTACAATAACACTGTTGATTAAACACCATGTCTTTATGTCTTTTATAGTCTTTGATGTTGTGTCAGGCCATAATCACGCGAGGTGCACATTAAATAGACTATGCTAATATCCCTTCTATATATAGTATTGTACCTAGAATTTAATTATAACAAGCGTTTTTGCCATCTTTTTTGTTCACAGAAGTGGGGGAATTGTTATTCTTGTCATATGCCTGCATCTTCTAACTTTTGTTAAGCCAAATCACGCGAAGGACGCTATAAAAAGGTTTAAACTAAAACACGAGTCACAAGACAAACATTTTTTTGGATTTCCTTTGTATCTCACGGTAAGACGAATTATTATTTTTTTTCAAAGCTGTTTTCATGGTTATTGTATAAAAACACATTACACCCCTCTGGAACAGAGCCAGTGAAACCCTACCAAGTGGTTTAATCAGTCGGCTACCCAGTGATAATTTAGCCTCCCGGACCCGGCGTGAATAGTATAATTTGTTTCTACCCGGCTAATTTTTTTTCCTTCCAGATCAATTTCTATTGTGACTACAAAACCAGTATATATAATTCTTTATTCATATTTTTTTTTAAGGAAGCAAAACTATAAAACCATTATCACCAGGCGCGAATAGTCTGTTTCTACCCGGCTAAATTTTTTTCTACCCAGGTCAATTTCAGTTGTGACTACAAAACCAATGTATGTCTTTATTCATATTTGTTTCAAAGGAACCAAAAATATAAAACATTATTAGATTATTACCATTGAGAAATGAAATTGGAGGGTACAGGTAATCGATCTCGCATAAAAAAGTGTAAACCTCTTACTCCTTCTCGCTAGAGCAATGAAAGGTTTTTCAGTAAAAGGTTTTCCAAGATTTCATACCATTCAAGATGTTAGACCTGCCTCTCGTTTTAGCCAGTTTTATGGGAGATGCACAAACAAGCAAAGAAAAAAAAACAACAAAAATACAGTGAAAACCAAACAACTCAGTGACGTTTTCTCCGACACCCGGTGGAGATATAGATTCCACTGGGTCTCTTACAGAGGGGCATGGATTCTCGCTAGAGTAATATGTAAAGGTTTTCAAAGATTTCATACCATTGAAGATGTTAGACCTGCCACCCATTTTAGTTAGTTTTATGGAAGATACACAACCAAAAAAAAAAAAAAAGAAAAAAAAAAACAGTAAAAACCAAACAACTCGGTGACGAAGAGTCTCCGAGACCCGGTGATTCTACTGGGTCTGTTACAGAGGGACATGTTTAAAACGCGAAAATTTCGTTTTATTTTCGTGTTCCGCTTTTACAATTCCGCAGAACCGACTATCTCGGATCCTGGAACGGGCTGGTCCGCGGCCGCCTATCGAAACAAGTTTGTATGGGAGTTGAAACAAGGTTTTGTGATGGCGGCCCACCAGCCGTAAGTAGAGCTTCTTCCACCTGCAAGAAAGCAGACAGCTAACCCTAGCCTTCTTTTTGTGGCCATTAAAGTATTGAATTTCTTTTCGATTTACTATGTCTGACGTACAAAAACGCTCTTTATATTAATAGTTCTTGAACAATAGTCTTCTTCCTGTGTTATCATTTAGAATATTAAAGTCCATGTTAAATTAGTGACACTCCCCACCCCCACCCCTGCTTTTCGCAGTCTTCGCTGGCTGTCATTTATATCGCCTTTCCCTTTCGCTTCTAACTAGCACATGAAAACCAGTACAGTTGAAACACACTGCAATCACTGTTTCTCCGACATAAATAAAAAAACACCCATTGCCTTTAATTCCTCGTGGGATTTTATTCGCAAAGAAAAACCTGTGAATCGGGTTAATGGTTATAAGCATCTTTTTATTTCTAAGATAGTTTGTTTTCTTCTGAAGTGCGGCCGGCCAGCTGGTATTTAAATGGCGTCGACAAGTCCCAGTTTTCATTTTTTTTTTTTTTTTGACGCAAAGCGGGCTAAAGCTCTGTAAATAATTTATTAAGTCAATATAAGGTTGGCCCAGCTTTAAAGTACATAATCTATACATTATTTGAAGACTCCCAACCCATTTCTCGATTAACAATTTTCAGTGACAGTGACTGACTTTCTGCTTTATTTTGTCTCATGAGGCTCTTATTTGTGCACTTCGATTCTTTATTCGAAATAAATACCTCAGTGCACATACTGCACAATATGTTAACAATTCACTATTACTAATAGACGTCATGTAAATTATTGATAAAGCTTTTTGAAAACGGTCTCCAAAGTGCAAATTTTTGAAAAAAGGTTTTTTTTTTGTCAGTTGTGACCAGATATGGTTAAGTGCTTCATTGTCAAGTGAAACGCGATGCTAATGGTAAGTATGCCTTTTCCCCTTATTTGTAAAGGCTCGCCCTTCTTTTTAAAGAACTGTGTTTTTACTAGCAACTACAATTCGCACTCTAAATTACTAGAATTTATTCTGTTTTCTAACGCTAAGTGTTATATTGATCTGTTCTCATGGCGTATCACTCTGCAAAGATGATCCTATACTGCATTGAAAAAGATTATGGTTTTGGAACTTTCAGTTTTTATTTAAAGAATTAAAAAAGCGATTGAGAGGGCTCCCATAATGCTATGTAGCGATCAGGACTTTGTAGAAAAGAAATAAAAGCTGGTGATATGTGGCCATCTCTCAAATGGCTACAAATACCTCTCTGCAACGGCCAATTTTTTTGGGCAGACATTTCATACACTGAATTTTGCTTAAACCTCTCTACAATGGACACCTCTCTATAATCGCTGGACTTTCTTCTGTCCCCGAGGTAGCCGTTTTAATTGTGGAGACGTTTAACAGCACTTTGTGCCTGACAAAAAATGGTTAACAGTTAACCTGGTACCACGGTTGCTCACAGTTATGTTTTAATACTACCTCTCCTCATTGTGCAATAGATAAGCCGCTTCAGTTCTCTTTTTATGTCTCGTTTCAAAAACGCGTAAACCAACGGATTTGCCGCCGAATTGGCTACCAAGAGAACGGTAACTACCAGTGCAGCATTATCAGACACGTCTGAGACAAACATGATTTTCAGGATCAGATAGTTTTTTACTAGATGACATGCCAAGAAAAACACCACTATAGCAATTATGAATGGTGCTGAGCTGTGTTTGCGTCTACCAGGACGTCTGGAAGCTGCTGTCTTCAGTGAAGCCCGCTTGAGTGAAGTTTGCAGTTGCTTTCTGAGAGACTCCATAGCAGAATTCTGAAGTGACTGCGCGCGAATTACGGCCAAAATACGGACAACAGCATAGACAAACAGAGTGGAGCACAGTATGTCAAAACCTGAGACACCAGTTAGACGCAGCACTTTTAAAACAGTGTCTGAGTTTGCAGCGAACATTCCCAAAACAAGGTACAGCGATATCAACAATGGAATCAGCCATGCCAACAAGATGATCCTTCCAGGGCGTCTCAAGATGATGGAAGTGTTGTATCTAAGAGGATGAAGAATTGCTGTGTAACGATCCCACGTTAAGATGCAGAGATTTGCAACTGAAGAGTGAACCAGAAACCAATACGCTGCCATGTATATGCTCTGGTTACAGATCCTTTTATAGCTGACGCAAACATAACCGCCGGGGAAGGCAACCATTCCGACGCCCAGATCAGCAACTGCCAGGGAAAATACAAACCAGTTGGGTGGAAAATGGAGGCGGGGTATTGCAGCGATGAAGGCTATTATAAAACCATTCCCAAGAACGGCTAACACGGAAAGTAACCATCCCGAAACATCGAGCCAACCTTCCATGCCAGAACAATTTTAGAGATTATTTTACGACTTCATCCTACAAGAAACCGTTCAAGAGTAAGTGCCGAATACCCAGTCACTTTTCAGGTCACTTCATTTAAATTTCTCTGACGCTTTGAAGAGTGAAGCGTTACACAAAAGCTCTTAGACTGTCATCAGCTGAAATATTATTCAATTTTATACTCGCGATACCAGCAGTGAGGTACTTCGCTTTATAAACAAGTTTCACTGTGCGGAGGGAAGAAATACGAGCTCCCCTAAAAACGCCCGCGGGGGAGGCTAGGACGAAAAAGACTGACACCGAACATATGTTTCCCGCCCCCACGCTACACGCATGCGCCGTACGGTCTGGAAAGATCTGGAAATCATGGAGGCCAACGGGAACAAGCGAAAGCTGAGTGGATTTCACTGTTTTTACTTTCGTTTGTTTCAGCGTGTTTTTGATCAATTGAACCTCTTAAGATACTGTGGTATCAAAGTAAACGGAAGTAAAGAGAAAGCAAGTCGATTCTTGCAAGTGCAAGTGATCAGTGTATGACTCATTCGCTACAATCATTGTATAAAGCTTGTAAAACTGACTTTCTTTGTACCCTTTAGTAAGAATGGTATATTTAAACTTACAAAATGTGGACTTTGTCCTGAAAGGTTTCTGTATACTACGCAGTGTAACACAGATTATGGTTAAAACGTATAATCGCAGCTGTAACAGGCACATGTAACTTTTTCACATCCCATTGTCCTTTCGTTACAGACTCAATTCCAGTAGCGAATACCAATTTCAGCGACTCTAATCTCATTTTCCCAGTGGGACCAAACAGTTCAACTCTTTAGGACCAGCTCCAAATCCAAGTGTAAGTTTTCTTAAGCACGCCTTGTTTTTCAATATTTGATAATAGATTACCACTGATTGCAGTCCAAGAAGATATTGGAGGCGAAGCATCTCATCGATCACGAGACTCTCAACATTACATTCAGTCCATTTTGTGGAATTAGCTTAAACCACTGGTTAAACCCATCTACTGTGTACCGGGATTTGAATGCGCGTTATAATTGGCTTGTTTTTGCAGGCTAATGGAATGCACTGGGAAATTGTAGGCAGTTGATGTTAGAATATAATATATAAGACGTGCTTAAGATAACTTATCTACAACAGGTCATTCACCTCATTCTAATATGGTGGCCTTATTGCTTTGTCACGCAACTCTTTAACTCCATTTCAACCTTCAGACGTGATAACAACCGTTTCCGCGATCAAAACGAATCTCAAAAGGGCCAGTTTTTACCCGGGAGGGAGGGGGTACTCCCTATAATTGCCTTTACGGGGAGACTCCGTCCAAAAAGGTTTTTTTAAGCACCGTGATAACCTAAAAGGGTTAGCCTTCCTACCCTGTATTTGTCTAATCAGGAATGGAAAGCGAGATTACAAAAGATAGCCACTGCATGTTTAAAGTCACAAACGGCCTATTGAGGCATACCACAATATTTATCGGTCTAGGTTATTTAAAATCATTTTTAAACATTTTTAACCGCACAGTGAAAGTAAAACTCACTACGTCGATCCTTTCTTTAAGGAAAGTTATGCCCTCTAGTTATGTGTCCTGAATAATTTTGAATTTTGAAGCGTTTAGAAGTTGCAATGCAAAGGAATTCTCCGCAGATTCCTGCACGAAATCATGACACTATTTAAAGTGCCTCAAGTAGGAGTGGACGATTCACAGTGGCTATGCTGAATTTGGGGAATTGCGCGAACTACCGTAAAATTCCGAAAATAAGCCCCTCCATATAAGCCCCTCCAAATATAAGCCCCCCCCCCCGGAGCTTCTACTTGGAAATTGCCCTCAAATACAAAGAAAAACAAAGCAAAAACGGTAAATTTCCTTCCAACTATAGGGTTAGCCCAATCGATTTTGGAACGCAAATTTCCCTCCGTAGACAAACCCCTCCGAATATAAGTCCCTCCAAAAATAAGCCCCTCAAAAAGGGCCTTTGGCCTGGGGCTTATTTTCGGAATTTTACGGTATGTTGTTAGACCCAGGTCCCCTCGGTCTTCATTCAGCGATCGCAGCGATCATATGGAAACCATCAATCGATGCGATCGCTGAACCTTTTTTGTCAGCGGTCACAGCGATGGTAGCGATAACATGGAAACCAGGCTTTAGGCCCCCTTTTCAAGGATCAGGAGGAGGATGCCACAGTAGTATTTTCGGCTGCCAACTTTAATGATATACGCTAGTGTTCTCCAGAAACGAAATTGCCCAGCCTTACCCTTACTGGGACTATTTCATTCCTTTTGTTATTTTCCTCGTGAATAAAAACTGCTACACTCTGACGATGTCAAAACTGAAGCTGCAGTAGAATTGCCCAAGCAAACTTGGTAAAATAACCCATGAACTATGTACAATATGAAGCAACCAAAATCAGCTTGTGGTGATCTAATAAGAGCTTTAATTTATACCTAAGTTAAATCTACAAATTCCATCACAATATAGGGGTCCTTTATTTAAGTAGACACATCTGAACTGTGGCTCATAAAATAAATAAATATATTTTTTTAACTTTCAATGCAGTTAGGGTTTCAAAGTAATAGCTTGCAGCTTACATGTCTATGAGAAAACAGCAACAGCGATATTCAATTCAAAAGAAGTATAAAACAGCAATTAGTCAGTTCTTTATATCCTGCATGGGTGCAACAGTGATAGATGCCGCATTCTTCAGCAACAACAACCCTCTCGGCTCATTTTTCCTGTAGCATTTTGCTTAAAATTGACATTTTCATTCAGATAGAAGGCTGCAGGAAGCACCTGGATCTTAAAATCTCTACACAGAAGCTGACCTGTAAAGATAAAATAATAATAATAATAATAATGATACAAGGATGAAAAAAGAGGAAAAATGATTCTATATCAGTTTCACATTTCTATATCTAGCCGAATTTTTGAAAACGTTACCCGGCTCTAAATAGACCTCTTCCCTCAGACAGTTTCTTCTTCAGCCAAAATAATATCTCCAAAGCAATATAGAATCTAAGACTGTGACCATTGCTTTTTTTTTCTTCTCCTTATCGCTCTTTGAGCGAAAAAAGAAAATGAAAACAAAACAAAACAAAAAAACAAAACCAGGAAAACGAAACGAGAAAAAGAATCATCGTGTTGGCCCTTTTTCGACTCAAGTGGCTACAAATTTTCTCTAGGTTCGTAATTTCCAAAGAATCGGCTAGTTATACAATAGTCCCGTCTATAAATTAATGGAATCCATTTTGGCTTTAGAGCTATCGATATATACGGCATTAAAAAGGAAAACTGGAAATCGCACTAATGGAGTAACATTTCTTTTCTTTTGTTTCATTCCGCGTTACGCCTCAGGACTCACTGCGTTTATTTGTTTACTTGAAAATATTCCAGAAGAGAAAAGACCGTCTTTACCTTCATTGTCATCATCTTTTCTTGGGGCGGCATTTATGGGACGTGTAGGCCCTTCGCTTTGCACAATTTTCTGAAAAATACATTTATTTATTAAATAACAAATTCTTTAAATCGTTGCTTTTGTTAAAATAATCTGCGTTACAGTTCGTATACACTTTTGAACAAATGCAGAAGCTGTTCAAAGAACCAATAGGAATTTTTTTGGGGGTAAGGCAGAATGAAAAATATAATAAAAGAATAAAAGAATGAAAATAAATGTAATAATGATAAAAACATGGGAAATGACTCAGATTGAATGTTCTTCGAACACAGTTTAGGTCCGTCTATATGATACAGTGAGACACCGTTCAGTTAATAGGGTCACCAATGGGTCAAAAAACAGATTGGCCGTATTAACAGGCTAGGGTGGCTGTATTACCGGAACAGTGTAATGAAACATTGCATCGCCTTCACACTTCTTGAATAACGATTCTCTTTAATAAACAGCCGGTCAAATGTTTTAGATATGGCCAGGAGCCCATCATATCGCGTAGTACAGTAATTGTGAAAACTAGTTGAAACATTCCTTCAGTACATGACTATTAAACCGTCACAAATGCGTTTTAGGTGTACTATAGTCTACGGAAAAAACATTACAAGATAGGCCCAAGAATTTTAATTTTCTAAATTTCGAACGAGTGGCCGTATTAACGGGGTGAAATTATAAACGATTCTGCCGTTTGGGATTTTAAAATGTGGCTGTTAGCCGTATCAACGGGTGACCGCAATTAAAAGAATAACAACCTAATGAAATATTTACCTTTCCTGATGCAGGCATTTTGCTGAGAGTTTTTGCAGGTAAAGCTTCACTTGTAAAGGTTTGTGAGTCCAAAATTACACTGTGTAGAGCGCTTCGTCTATAGCTCTTTTATAGTCGTTGATGTTGTGTTGAACTGGAGCGAGGCGATGACCACACGAAGTGCACATGAACGGATTATGTCAATATCCCTTCTGTATGTAGCTAGTATTGACAACGGATTTCGTCTCTGATGTTGATTCACAAAAGTGGGTTAATTGTTAATCATGTCTTTCTTAAAGTCAAATCACGCGAAGGACACTACAATTATGGAAACTTTATTTGTGTTTAATGTACAATTGTAAATCTCGCTAGGTATAGGCAATTTATAAATGCTGCTTGAGATTGGATTATTCCAAAAAAAAAAAAATAAAATAAAAAGAACAAGAAGAAAAGAAATTATCAAATCAAATCAAAATTGCATTAAGTCTGGGCTATCCCAATTCCTATTTCTACAACAAAAGATGTAATATGTTGTTCTAATGGCTATATTTATCCTCTTTTTGATCAATATCACAAGACAAACTTTTCTCCAGACTTGCTTTTAATCTCATAAAAAGCATTAACATATTGTTTGTGAAAAGCAAATTTTTCTGGTTATGCAGTATAAAGCAAGAACTCCCTGAAATCAGCAGATGTTTTTCAAGGCACAGGATACGAGGATGGAGATTGTGTTAGCCAAAATTTGTTAGAACATAACAGCAGGACAACTTTTTGTCTTCCTCTCAGATAATTCCCTTGAAAAGGATCGATGTACTATCCAGATTTTTTTCAGAACCCAAGTGTTCCAATTGACAGCCATTAACAAGGACATTTAAAAATTGCAATAAAAAGATGAGGCCAGTAATTCTATGTATTTTTCCCCCTAGTTGCGCCCAAAACGTTCGAAACTTAAAAAACTGTCAAAAAATTCATATCATCAAAAGTTATGAATCTTTTTTGCCTGGGCCATAATTTTTTTAGTAAAGTAGGCATCAAATTACCCGATCTACCAAAAATTTAAGAATAATGGACAGTTTTGACATCATCTCATACTCCTCTGTTACCAAATGCAGAGTTCAGTACCATTCATATCTATATAATACAATTTCTACTATTCATTTCTTTTTTCTCTTAAAAATGTATTTTTCTTGCAGCCATAATGAGTAAAAACACCAATAAAAAAAATAGGGGTCACCGTTCTCGGTTCATGGCAAAAAGACAACACACGTGAGAATTTCGGCTTAAAATGATCATTTTATGAAAAGGGACCGGGACGATTTTCAAGATCGGCACCTTCTCAGCCGAGAGGAGTTATAGTGATAATCGCTATTAACCAGTTGGAGTACGAAAAAGACCTTTGCTGCCTCTCTTTAGGCGACTGGACAAAACTATCGCCACATTTTATGTGCCAATGCTATGCGCAGTGAAGTTACTGAAATTTTTTTTCGATTTATGGCCCAACCACGAAGCGCGCAGGTCGTCAAAAAAAAGATCAAAACAAACGAAACACAACAAAGCAAGAACAAAAGAAACGAGGATCAGTAATTTGCAGTACAGACCAAGAAAATAAGGCTAATAAGATGTTTACTCTATGGCTTCCTGTTTAGGGGACCGGAAAGGTCCGGAAACAACTGCAGGACACGTTGCAGGACACACGATTTGCCAGTCATTTGACAGGCGTCGAAAAAAGAATGTTTAATTGGCACATGGAAACATTAACACATAAAAAAGGCTTTCCGAGAAAGTGAAAACAAGAGGGCCATTTTGAAAAAATTTAATTCGGTCAAAACTAAGAGCACTGCTGGAGTATCTTGGAAACTGAACACTGTGTCTGTGTTAGCTTTCTGTGTCAGCCACGCAGGTTACCTCAGTTTGCACTCTTGGCCGGCCGGACAAATCTTAACCCTTTAACATTTATATATTTTCTCCATATATATTTTTTATTTTGAAGAAGAAACTTTCTTTTATCACCTCATTCCATAGTAACCATTGCCTTCATTTTCATGACCTTCATTAAATCAAATTTCATCAGAGAGCACTAAACCTTTCGGCTAATAATTTTTTGGTGATTCTTGTAGGCATAGCGTCAAAAAGTTGGCCCAACTTATTCAAGTTTCAATCTTTGTCCATCTTTGCCTTACGTTGAACTAGACGACAGGATACAGTTTTAATGCCTAAATATACTCCGGCTTAAATAACAAAAAGTATACCATTTTTTTGAAAAATTCCATTGAGGCGAAGAACGTTTTAGCTTTTTAAAAAAGTTAGCAAATAGCGCGTGAAGAAAAATTAGTGGAGGGGAGTAGGGGCTTGTTCACTTTCTTTCCCTGAAAAGGGGGGCTTATTAGAGGGAGGGAGCTTAGTTCGGGGGGTGGGTTCTTAATAGAAGATTTACGGTATAACGGTCACATTCCGGTTGAAAGTTAATCGGGATTTAAGAAAGGGAATGCATCTAATGATATCTGTAGATTTAGCTTTTATTTCCCAGGACAATGAGCTCTATCCAATTATTGTACCAAACCGCCAACGCCGTTAAAGTACAAAAGATACCAAAAATTGTCGTGGCAGCCCTTGATTAAATCACCCAATTGTTTATACACATAAGATACATATATCAGCTTGTGACGATTTCAAGAGCTTTTATTATTAGCATAAGAGTACCTTAATTTACAACAACACTTAATCTGAACTGTGACTCAAAAACAAATATAGTTTTTCTAAAACTTTCAATGTTAAGGGCTTAAATCACAGATTACAGTTTATATGTCAATAATTTAACAAAACAGGCAATATTTAATGAACATATTGAATCGTATTTAATCATTCAGGTAGATCAACGCCGCAACAGTTACAGATGTCCTACTCCTCAGCAACAACAACCTTGAGTGCTCATTTTTCCTGAAGCAGCCGACTGTTTGAAATTAACATTTTCATTCAGATAGAAGGCTGCAGGAAGCACCTGGATCTTGAAATCCCTGCACAGGAGCTTAGCTGAAAGGTTCAATAATGAAAATAGGTTAAAATAAAATAAAATAAGAAAGCGAAAGTGGTGTTAGTGTCACAGTTGCAATACTAGTTTCATTTTGGCACTTGACTCCATAAGAAAAAAGAGATTTCAGGGGTTGCTACATTTTTTTGGTTTTCTTCCTTTCAGCAGCGGAGCTCATTGTGGTGTGTTGTTTCTGTAAAAAAAATCCAAAAGAATATTTAGCCTTTACCTTCATGGTCATCATCTTTTCGTAGAGAGCCATTTATCTCACGTCTGAGCTCTTCGCTTTGCACAATTTTCTGAAAAACGTTTTATGAATTGGTTAGTATTGTTGTTGTTATTGTTAATTGTTAATCTTCTTCTTCTACAGGTCTATTCTCTTAAAACAAACAGCGTTAAACTTTGAAGGTACTTTAAACAACGTCACAGAGTCCCCCTCCCCCCGCCCCTACCCAACACAAATAAAAATGGAAAAGCATCATGACTATCTACCTTTTATATTTTAAAATATGATTTTTGTCATTCAAAATCTGTGAAGCACAATCATAAATCTATGGACATATTATTTCGTTCAAGAAAGATCTTATTCTGCCAAGGCTGTTAAATCTGATTCAAAGTTTCCTATGATAGACAACTTTGCACCATATCCCCTCCGTCAAAAAGTAAAAATACAATATATTGGAGGAACATAGTAACGTTTATTCAAGCTAGTGAGATATTTACCTTTCCAGATGCAGACATGTTATTTGTTGAGAGTTTTCAGGTGAGGCTTCACTCAAGTCTAGAAAGCTTGTGAGTTCAAAATCACACTGCTGATGGACTTCATCGACAGGCCTTTTATAGTTCTTGATAATGCGTCGAAATGTGGTCAGGCCAAAATCACGCGAGGTGTTCTTTAAGTAGACTATTTCAATATCCCTCCTATATATACAGATGTAGTGCCGTATATAGACCTCAACAAACTGATTTGTGATGTTGTTACACAAAGGTGCGTTTATCGTTTATCTCGTCATATGCCCGCCTGCATCTTCTGACTTTCTTAAGTCAAATCACATTTATCTAGTACACTGCAAAAAAACTGAATTAAGTACAAGTCACAAGAGTTGCTTTAAAATGTATATTAAGTTATTTTTGCAAAGCCATTTTTATAGTCATTGTTTAAAACAATAAGAGTGAAAAGCTCTCAAATGAAGACGTAGGATGGATGGCTCGTCAGCTACATATTATATATTATAATATGTGTTTGAGCGACTGCGAGGTCAACTTATTTTTTCTTCCTGCCAAACACTTTATAAGCTAATACACAGGGCATTCAAGCTATACTTTGTATGAATAAGGCGATCATAATTAACCTTATCGTCACGGATACACAAAATAAATAGCAATCCTTGATGCTAAAAATACAAACATTTCCGACTGATTTAGTTGGCGTTTATGATTGACAGATGTCTATTTAAAATTAAAATGGCTAAACTTAAATACTTATTATTTTGGCTATTTATTATTTTTTTGTTATTTCCTTGTTTGAACCCTGGGGGACGGGGTACTCCTGGGAATTCTTGGTGGGGGGTGTGCCGCCCGGTTTTTAAAATCCTGACCCTATTTCAGACCAACAAAATAATGTAATTTTCCACAGCTGTTTTTAGACCAGACCTCTAAAATCCATACCCGATTTCAGACTGGGCCTTTAAGCAGAAATTATGTTATAATTACTTTGATTAGAGGGAAAACAAAAAAAATTCTTCAAATCCATTTCGAATTCGCATATTTCTCGTTCTTTCTACACCCATTTGGAATTGAAATGAAAATACGTTCATACACTCCCGTAGTTCCCTCAAAAACCATATCCGATTCCTGCTAAAATGGGTAAAGCTAAAAGTGAAGACCAGCGTTCAGACCAAAACGGCGTAAAAACCTCACAAGTTGGGGTGGCACATACCTATATAGCTTATATAAGGGAGCACCCCTCCCACCCGCCCTCCCCCGTGACTTGAATCGAAAGCGGTGATGATAATAATCATCACAAAAGCCCGTCTTGTCTTCTTAGAATTTCCATGCCATAATAACAATAGTATTTTTCCAGTGTTCCTGTCCTGTGTTATTTTCCTTAGAATCCTTAAATAGATAACGGCACAACGTTGATTCACCTAATAAAAATACAAGAAAAAAGCAAGTCTAAAGAAACATTTTTCTTATGCCTCGTGTATGTTCAATCCTTTGTTTAGCTTTCCTCGAGTGATTTGACTCACGTGTAAAGAAGGTCAGATGGGGCAGGATATGACAAGATTAACAATTAACCCAGCTTATCACTCCAGAGCTGAAATCGGTTGTTAAGTTCTATAGGTAAAATACTATTATATAGAAGGGATATTGGCATAGTCCAATCAATGTGCATCTCGCGTGATCATCGCCTGACTTCAGTTCAACACAACATGAAGGGCTATAAAAGGCCTAAAGGCATAGTGCAATCAACAGTGTGTTTTTGAACTCGAAACCTTCACAAGTTAAGCTTTACCTCAAAATTCAGCAACATGCCTGCGTCAGGAAAGGTAAATGTCCCATTAGGTTGTAAAGAAGTTACAATATTCCTCTGAATTTCTGTAGAAATAATTTTTTGAACGATAAGTGTCTATCATAACAAACTTTGAATGAGATTTCTTGCACATTCTTGAGAAAAGATATAAAATTGAACTTTTGACGTGGCTTTGCAGATTGTATAGAAAAAGAAGGTATAAAAACTTGGGGAGGGGGAGGAGATAGGGGTTTTATTATTTCTGGCTTTATTTAAAAAAAAAATTACCAACGCCTACCGTGGCTTCCTTATTTCAAGAAAACAGTTATGGAAAGCAAAAAATATTAATTGTTAATCATAATAAATAACGTTTTATGATCATAATGTTTTCAGAAAATCGTGCAAAGCGAAGAAGTCAGTCGTCAGATGAATACTGGTTTGGGAAAGGATGATTGCCTTGAAGGTAAAGCTAGGCTATATATTATATGAAAGAAGATCATGCGATGACCTTCTTCCATGTAATTCTTCACCCCGCAGTTCTCTTAAATAATTTTCATATATATTCATAGCTTAAAAAAGATATATTTGTTTACAAAAATAACTCAAAACAATGTGCTCTGAGTTAAATGAAGTAAAACAAAAGAAATGAACTGCTAACCCCTGAAATCTCAAGGACATTTCTTTTTTCATATACGCCACAGCAAGAGAAAATAGATTATTTTCTCTTGCCACAGCCATGGAGCCAAGTAATAATTATAATTTGAAACTAGACTGTCGTCCACAGTCCCCTATTTTTTCGTCAGAAAGTCAGGATCAAGCGCTTTTTCCTTTGTACCAAGCGGCGAGCGTAGGCGGGGTCTAGATTTGACACAAATCCAAGAAGACCGCCAGTAATGCAAAGCGGTCGATCTCTATGAACTTACGACGAAAATAGGGGACTGCGAACAGTCTAATTTGAGACTAAAGCCTATTATGACATATAAAAATGTTATACCTAGACTATTTTTGCTCTCTTATTTTATTTAATTTTTATCATTTGACATTTTCAGGCCAGCTGTTGTGTAGGGATTCCAAGATTCAGGTGCTTCCTGCAGCCTTCTATCTGAATGAAAATGTTAATTTTAAACAAACTGCTACATCAGGAAAAATGAGCACACAAGGTTGTTGTTGCTAAGGAGTGCAGCATCTAGCACTCTTGCAGTATTGATGTGAAGAAGTTATTTTAAAAGCATTATTTAATATTTCGATTAAATATCGCCGCTCTCATTATATTATAAACATGTAAACTGTAAGCAATGATTTTTTCCCAATACGTTGAAAGTTCAACTGAAAAGAAAACTATATATTTTTTTTGAGCTACAGTTCAGATGCAGTATTGTTGTAGATTAAGGTACTGTTCTTATACTAGGAATAAAATATAGCTGTTGAAATCATCGCAAGCTGGTTTTTATATCTTTCGGCGTATCTATATCAAGGTTTGCCACGACAATTTTTTTGCCCTGTGTACTTGAACGGCGTTTATAGTTTCTCTTCGATAAACAACCGACAACAAAAACAAAAACTCAGTATTCATGACTAACCGCTGGAATCCAATTGGTACATTTAATGGGCAAGTTATTTAAACGGGGTTTAGCCATTGTTTAACAAAAACGCGTAGCCTTTTTCAGTTTGTTCAACGCTTTCATAATCACCAGATATATCATATCGTGAACAGCTTCATGAATGCATAAGGCGTAGATTAGAGAAACATTTGTTTTCTTAAAAACACCCACTAAGGAAGATATTTAAAGGTCCAGATTTGCTAAACCGCGACCTAAGTTAGATTTTGTTTAAATAACCGACCCATAATGTTTTTTTGCTAAAAAATCAAAGTTTTAAAATCGATAGAAAACATGAGACTTATGCCCCTTCTTCGAATCCAGAATATTGGCTGGCCTGTTCCATGCGTTTGGATGGTGGGGAGCGAGCAAAAAATTAGGGCGCCGGCGAATGGTGGGGAGCGGGCAAAAACTTAGGTCGCTGGCGAAAAATTGACGAAGGAAAAAATAGGGCGGGAAAAGGGAGGGAAGGCTCCCGCGTTTTCTCGCTCCCGCCCCAGTCTCCCCTCGTTTTTTCGCCTCGTGTTTCTTTTTGCGCCGGCCGCGTACGATTTAACTTGCTCCTCACTATCTAAACGCCTGGAACAGGCTAAATATTGGCTTGCGCCATTAGCGAAATATCGCACACCAATTCAACATCTAGCCCCGGCTAGAAGTTGAGAAGGTGGATAATGTTATCCAAGTGATCTGAGTGATAAATTACTATTTCGTGGATAGTGCTGTTGGGTATCGATTTAACTTATCCTCTTGATAGCGATTCATCCGATGGATGGATTTCGACAATACTGTCCAACTTTTAAGCAACCGAAGCCTGCTATAAATTACGCGTCATGATCAACGCGCATATATCAAGAAGATAAAGAGGCATAAATGAATTAGGTTTACGGTAAGCAGCTATTTGTACCCAACTAGTTCTCCTTTTGCCGTTTTCTGCAAATGTCTTATGTACATAAAATGAGTAGTTTCATCACGTCAGTTTGATCCATAAGAGTTTGCCTTTATTTAGTCTTTATTTGCTTCTTAATGAATCTGATGTCTACAGTGTGCCGTGAACGTAAACTAAACATCTCAATTGAATTTTTGTATCATTAATTGTCACCAGAAGACTGCCATCCACGTCGACGTCGACGTCGACGTCGACCCTTTCGACTATAAGGAAAGTTATGCCCTGTAGTTATGCGTCCTGAATACTTTTGAGTTTTTTTCAAAGGAATTCTCTGCAGATTCCTGCACCAAATCATGACACCGTTTAAAGTTGTCTTAACTAATGTTACTCAAGAGTTATACACTCTTAGACAGGAAACTGTATTAGTGTTTGGAGATAGAGAGTGGCCATGATAATACTTGAAACTCAAGTTGCTTATTCCAAAAGAATCTGTCGTGACCGAAATTAACTTACACAACCTAATTGTAGAAACGTTTCTCTTCAAAGGACTTTGCAGTTATGAAGTCCACGAGTGCGAGAGGAAGACTGATAGAAAATCATTTCCAGATTTTGCTCCAGAATCTGCGGTCAGCTCATTTATATCATGTTAGATGCCTGAATGATCCAATGATTGAATGAAAAGTAATAAGAAACCCTTGTTAGTCGTCAAGTGTTACCCGAAAATTTAAAAAAAAAGACGAATACTAAACACATATTTTATACCTTTAAATTTCTGACTAAAAGTTGTGGTAGTGGTGGTATCATGCAATTTTATATAGCATGTATTCGTGGATTACAGAGCTCTTTAGGACTGGGTTCGCCTCACATTGAAAAATCATTTTGCCATTTCGGGTGTCGAATGTACACCTGACGGTACTTCTTTTAGCCGACACTTCGGAAATCAGCCATCTGCTAACTACAGCAAGGTTATTCAATGAGTGCTCTCAATGGGTTCATGGTTTAGGTTTAGTTTCTACCGCTGACGGTTAATTTTTCTAGGTTACTGTTAACAGACGTCATCTGAAGAAAAAAAAAATCAATTGTTTTGAAAAAATTCTAAAGCTTCCATTGTTGTGGGCCTTGGGGAACATTTCTGGAATGGAAAAAGGCTGACGTAGTCGGCATTCACCGGCGAGTGAAGACATATTGACGTCGTGCTTTAGTAAAACGAGAACTTAATCCGGGTTGAAGCCGGCACTCGGGACTTGGGGCTCGGGGCCAGGGTTGGGGACGAGGCTAGGGACGGGATCGGGGTCGGAGTTCGGGTTCGGGGTCTGTCTGGCTGTCTTTCTGTTTGTTTCTAGACAAGTGCTTTTTCACATCTTTAACTGAACAGGTACATTTTCTATTGATACCCATTGCTTTGAGTCTCTTTTATTAAGTAAAATTGATGTCCCTTTTGTTTAATGATTGATATTGAGATTTTCTTTAATTGATTTCTACCCTAAGCATTTCCCTTTCTGATTTACTAGATTTCTCGGTATAGTTTCAGTAGCCCCGCTGTGCTACTGACATGAGTATTGCTCACGTAGCATTCCCAAACCAAGTGCTATTCACGGTTGGCACGGACGTGAAATAATGGCTGTCGAAGCAAAGTTTCTATAACTGGCTCCCTTTTTGGTTTAAGGGAAGAGCATTTCGTTAAGAGGAAATAAAAGAAATAAAAAACGGAAAGCGTATCCTCTCTTTCGTAATACTACTTAAGATGAATGTTATTAACTTGAATAGCTCAAAATTAATAATTAAGTGTTTAGCTGGTTTGCCCATAAAGGACAGAAACCCAGAACAAGGTTATAAAATAAATGAAATCAGAAAATAAATAATAATAATAATAATAATAATAATAATAATAATAATACAGTGAAAACCTCTATTAAGCGGACACCTTCGGGAACTTCACAAGTGTCCGCTTAATAGAGGTTGTAAAAATAGCGCAATGTTTGTTAACGATCAACATTCAACGGTTACCCTTTACTGTGATAAAGTTGCATGTTGTTAAACAAGCTATCCAGTCGATATCCAGAGTTCAAGTTCATTACATTTCATTACCAACTTTAATTTGTTTGTAAAGGCAAAAACGTTAACTGACTTCGGTACGTATTTCAAGGACGTAAACCAAAACTACTATTGTGAATTCAGTCTGGTGTCCGTTTAATAGAGGTTTTTAACGATAGAAATTAGCCAAATACACCTTATTTTAGTGTCCACGTTTTCTCATAGAGGTGTCCGCTGAACAGGGGTTCGTTACAAAGGCGAAATATAAGACGTTGATTTCGGGACCCGGCTTAGTGTCCGCTTAATAGAGATTTCACTGTAATAATAATAATAATAATAATAATAATAATAAAGACCTAGAACTAGAAATACAGAGAATGTGGCATATGTCAAAACCGTAGTGATCCCTGTGGTTGTTGGTGCGCTTGGTACAGTGAAGAAAGATATGGTAGAAAACATCAAGAAAGTATCAGAAAGCTACTATGACAGATATTCAAAAGATCTGCATGCTGGGATCTGCACGAATCCTCAGAAAGGTGCTCAGTGTATGAACAGAATTATTGACTTGAGTGACTGACGCTCTGGGTGTATGGTTTGCGCCCGGCTGATGCACAAAAAGAACACCAGCAAAGACCGTGACAATAGAGACAATAAAAATAATAATAATAATAATAATAATAATAACAACAACAAAAGAAATAATGATAATAAAAGACAACGAAAAAGGCAAACAAAGAACAACAATATCACAGCGTACAGCAAAAGCAGACCTCAGCCCAGGCACCAGTACTAGTGGTTTCTGTTTCCTTTTACAGAACCGGAAGAAGCTCAAGAGACGCCTGAGGGCATGCACTGGCCTGGGCAAAAAGGGAACCAAAAAAATTGAACGGTGGTCGGGATTAAGGCCTCCTCCCACACGCTGCTTTGTTTTGCTCGTCCTCTCGCGTCTCCAGTTTGGCTTAAGCAAACGGAAACGACTGTTCGGCGGATTATCCCGGCCAAGACCTAGGCTCGAGTACCAGCCAGAAATCGAGCCTAGCTCAGACCCCGAGTCCGTGTTTCAGCTGACACCTGTTTAATTTGGTTACGTTGGAGTTCAAAATGTGAGTATGTCCGACGATTTCCGTCGTTTTAATGATCTTGTATTTTTTTAGCAGGATGATCTCAGTTCATTGTTACAATTGAGCAGTTGCGTTTGAATATATATTTGTTTATTTTGAAAACGAACTTTCAAAGCTTTTTCAGTACATTTAAGCGTGATTTCCATATGATCACTACGATCGCTGCGATCGATGAAAAAAAGTTCAGCGATCGCAGCGATGATATGGAAACCACTCTCCAGCGATGGCAGCGATCACAGTGATCGTGGCGATCGCAGCGATCATATGGAAGCCACTCTCCAGCGATCACACAGCGCGTCTCAGCGACTTCAAATTAAAAGTACCGGGATTCATTGCGTACGCTCACGCTTTTCAAAATGGCTGCCAACACAAACATTGAGAAAGCAATCGTCATGGCACTTTTTATGGAAGAAGTACAAAAATACGACTGTCTGTACATCAAATTTTCAAAGGAATATAGAGACAAGTACAAGAAAATCAACTGCTGGAAAACAATCGGAGAGAAATTCGATTTATTTCCCGAACGCAAGTTCTCTGTCTTTCCCGTCGACAATGATTACAAGAAAACACACCTTAAGTAGGAGTCGACAAATCACAGCCGCTATGCTGAATTTGAGGAATGGCGCGAACTATGTTGTTAGACCCAGGTCCCCTCGGTCTTCATTCAGCGATCGCAGCGATCATATGGAAACCATCAATCGATGCGATCGCTGAAACATTTTTGTCAGCGATCACAGCGATGGTAGCGATAATATGGAAAGCAGGATTTAGGCCCCC